ATATATATATATACCCTATTAATAGGTATGTATCACACCGCGTAGTCTTGTTCTATGCGTTCCCGCCCTGTACGTGTGAAGGGTCACGTGGTGTGATCGTGGTAGTTGGAAGATGGCGGAACAAGAAGTGGACGAATAAACTATGTGTGTTATCTTTCACTCTGAGTTATGTTTATACTGGCTGACAAGTGGATGATCGTCTGAACAGTGAGTCATTAATGATTATATTTTTTGGTGGTGTGTGGTAGCAGGAGCACATCAAATATGTGATTCTGGTGGTAATAAGTACTTTCCGAATTGCATACATTTCATGGTAAAATGGTTTTTTATTTTTTTAAATATTCAGAACGCAACTAAGCCTTTAGAGTTTTTTTTACAGAGCAAAATGATTTGCAAACTTTTAACATTTGTACTCGTGGTTATTAAATCGCGCCAATTCACCAAGGCATCGTACCGATAATCTACACATTTCTATATAAACTGAATAGTGTTACTACATATACTCGATTTTACATTGCAATGTCTGCCAACACGTGCAACAATTAGAACATAGATCTACCAAGTATTGATAATTTCTTCTGGGTTTTCGCATTTCCGATCCTACATGGGCTTCCTCGGTTAACACGCTCAGTGTCGCCTACGTTGGTCTAGCGTGTGCCCTGACAAATTCTATGAGACTCGGAGGCAGCTGCAGCCTGTTCTTGTATGCAACGCTGCGTCTGACGATAACGCGCGCGCAGTGGCACTTCAGCGAATGATACTGCGCGCTCATTCTGCCATGTATCTCGTCGCTCGACTCCACGTTGCCGCGGAAACGCGTCGGGTTAATCCGGCGCCAGAGTTCGTATGGCGTCTCTCCCCGTGCGTTCGCCACGTCGACGTGTGCACCGTGGTTGAACAGCAGCGCGTGCACTACCTGCACGCACCCCTCCCTCTCTCGTGTGAAAACATCGCCTTTCCATGCGAGCATCATCCTACAGAAGCTGTGCAGCGGGGTGTCGCCCTCGCTGTCGCGTGTGTTAACCTTTAGAAGTGCGCCGGCGGACTTGCACGTCTGTAGGAGAGCTAACGCCATTTGTGCTGCGTACCAGGCCATTATGGAGCTTCCTATTATAGCGAGCGGCGTCCTCTTGTTGCAATCGACGAGGTTCGGGTCAGCTCCGTGTTTCAAGAGAAGAGTAATCATCTGTGTGAACGAAGGAAACCAGGATCGTTAACAACTCGATTTTAGGTTCGTTCCTTGAAGAACAAGTTTCTCCAAGCATACTACCTTTATTACTGTTGCCGATTACTAACTATTACTATTATTAAATTATTAACTATTAAACGATTACTATTACTGATTACATTTATTATCTAGAAAAAACTACATTGGAACATCGCTAAAATTGTCTCCGTCGTCCGCAGTTTCACCTCGGTCCCGAGTAGATTGCAGTAGTGTAATGCGGTGAAACTATAACATATCTATTATTAACTGTTAACCGATTACTATAGCTACACGAGGAACCTTAACTCGAGTTAAGCTAACTCGAGTTAGCGGTTATGTAGCGTCTACATGACAACACCCGATAGCGATTATTACCGATTTATTATGCATGCGTGCGTGCGTGTGTATGTAAACGTGCGTGCGTGTGTGCATGCGTGTGCACGTATACGTGCGTGCGTGCGTGCGTGTGTATGTAAACGTGCGTGCGTGTGTGCGTGCATGTGCACGTACACGTGCGTGCGTGCGCGCGTGTGCAGGAACACGTTCGTGCGTGCGTGCGTGCGTGCGTGCGTGTGTATGTGCACGTAGGCGTGCGTGCGTGCGTGCATGCGTGTGCACGTAGACGTGCGTGCCTGCGTGCGTGCGTGCGTGTGCACGTACACGTGCGTGCATGAGTGTGTGCGTGCGTGTGCAAGTACGCGTGCGTGCGCGCGTGTACGTACATCGTACTAGTGCTGCCGCCTATCGTGGAGGTTAAGCTAACTCGAGTTAAGCGTCTACACGGGCCTTAACTCCAGTTAAAGTAACTCGAGTTAGCCTAACCTCAATCGACTGGCGAGGTTAAGCTAACTAGAGTTAACGTAACTCGAGTTTCCTTAACTTGAGTTAAGGCCCCGTGTAGACGCTTAACTCGAGTAAAGGTTCGTCGTGTATAAGAAAATACATTAGGACATTGCTAAAATTCGGTCTCAATCATTCGCAACGTAGGCCCGTAGTTTTACCTCGGTTTGACCTCGTTCACAGCAGTAGTGTAACGCGGTGAAACTCCTCTTTCCTTCGATTATCAGCGGCATCTTTTTACTGTTCTTCATGGCAACGTTGGGATCGGCGCCGGCCTCCAGTAGCAGGCGCACGATATCCAGCCGGCCAACCCAAGCCGCATGGTACAGGGTGGTCCATCCATACGAGCCCGCGGCGTTGGCGTCGGCGCCGTGTGAAAGCAGCATCCGCACCATCGCCTCCTTGCCCTTACTCACCGCCATCATTAGCAGCGTCTCCCCGGTCTGCGTCTTGGCGACGTTTGGATCTGCGCCAGCCTCCAGTAGCAAGCGCATGATGTCCAGCCAGCCAAAGCAAGCCGCGTGGTACAGGGAGGTCCGTCCGTGTGAGTCCGCGGCGTTGGCGCCGGCGCCGTGTGAGAGCATCATCCGCACCATCGCCTCCTCGCCCTTACTCACCGCCATCATTAGCGGCGTCGCTCTACTGTTTGTCTTGGCGACGTTGGGGTCGGCGCTGGCCTCCAGTAGCATGCCCATGATGTCCAGCCGGCCAGAGCGAGCCGCCATGTGCAGGGAGGTCGCTCCGTGTGAGTTCGCGGCGTTGGCGTCGGCGCCGTGTGAGAGCAGCATCCGCCCCGCCGCCTCCTCGCCATTACTCACCGCCATCATTAGCGGCGTCGCTCTACTGTTTGTCTCGGCGACGTTGGGGTCGGCGCTGGCCTCCAGTAGCATGCCCATGATGTCCAGCCGGCCAGAGCGAGCCGCCATGTGCAGGGAGGTCGCTCCGTACGAGTCCGCGGCGTTGGCGTCGGCGCCATGTGAGAGCAGCATCCGCCCCGCCGCCTCCTCGCCCTTACTCACCGCCATCATCAGCGGCGTCTCCCCGCGGTACGTATCGGCGACGTTGGGGTCGGCGCCGGCCTCCAGTAGCATGCCCATGATGTCCAGCAGGCCAGAGCGAGCCGCCATGTGCAGGGAGGTTGCTCCGCACGAGTCCGCGGCGCTGGCGTCGGCGCCATGTGAGAGCAGCATCCGCCCCGCCGCCTCCTCGCCCTTACTCACCGCCATCATCAGCGGCGTCTCCCCGCGGTACGTCTCGGCGACGTTGGGGTCGGCGCCGGCCTCCAGTAGCATGCCCATGATGTCCAGCAGGCCAGAGCGAGCCGCCATGTGCAGGGAGGCCTCTCCGTTCAAGTCCGCGGCGTTGGCGTCGGCGCCATGTGAGAGCAGCATCCGCACCATTGCCTCCTCGCCCTTACTCACCGCCATCATTCGCGGCGTCGCTCTACTGTTTGTCTTGGCGACGTTGGGGTCGGCGCCGGCCTCCAGTAGCAGGTGCAGGATGTCCAGCCGGCCAGAGCAAGCCGCATGGTACAGGGAAGTCTCTCCTTGCGAGTTCGCGGCTTTGGCGTCGGCGCCGTGTGAGAGCAGCATCCGCACCGCCGCCTCCTCGCCCTTACTCACCGCCATCATCAGCAGCGTCACTGTACTGTTCGTCTTGGCGACGTTGGGGTCGGCGCCGGCCTCCAGTAGCAGGCGCACGATGTCCAGCCGGCCAGAGCAAGCCGCGTGGTACAGGGAGGTCTCTCCGTGCGAGTCCGCGGCGTTGGCGTCGGCGCCGTGTGAGAGCAGCATCTGCACCACCGCCTCCATGTCCTCCCACGCCGCCATCATCAGCGGCGTCTTCCCGGTCTGCGTCTCGGTGACGTTTGGATCTGCACCGGTCTCCAGTAGCAGGCGCACGATATCCAGCTGGCGAGAACGAGCCGCGTGGTACAGGGAGGTCTCTCCGTTCGAGTCCGCGGCGTTTGGATCCGCGCCGGCCTCCAATAGCAGGCGCACGATGTCCAGCCAGCCAGAGTAAGCCGCGATGAGCAGGAAGGTCTGTCCGTACGAGTTCTCGGCGATGGCGTCGGCGCCGTGCGAGAGCAGTATCCACACCGCCGCCTCCTCGCCCTTACTCACCGCCTCCATCAGCGGCGTCTCCCCGCTGTCCGTCTCGGCGACGTTGGGGTCGGCGCCGGCCTCCATTAGCAGGCGCATGATGTCCAGCCAGCCAAAGCAAGCCGCGTGGTACAGGGTGGTCTCTCCGTGCGAGTCCGCGGCATTGGGGTTCGCGCCGTGTGAGAGCAGCATCTGCACCGCCGCCTCCTTGCCCTTCCTCACCGACTTCATCAGCGGCGTCGTTCCGCTCATCTTCTGGGCAACGTTGGGGTCGGCGCCGGCCTCCAGTAGCAGGCGCACGATGTCCGGCTGGCCAAAGCAAGCCGCGTGGTACAGGGTGGTCTGTCCGTGCGAGTCCGCGGCGTTGGCGTCGGCGCCGTGTGAGAGCAGCATCCGCACCGCCGCCTCCTCGCCCTCCGTCACCGCCTTCATCAGCAGCGTCTCCCCGCCCTCCGTATCGGCGACGTTGGGTTTGACTCCGGCCTCCCATAGCAGGCACAAGATGTCCCACCGGACAGAGCGAGCCGCCATGTGCTGGGAGGTCTGTCCGTGCGAGTTCGCGGCGTTGGGGTCGGCGCCATGTGAGAGCAGCATCTGCACCGCCGCCTCCTTGCCCTCCTTCACCGACTTCATCAGCGGCGTCGTTCCGCTCATCCTCTGGGCAACGTTGGGGTTGGCGCCGGCCTCCAGTAGCAGGCGCATGATGTCCAGCCGGCCACAGTAAGCCACGTGGTGCAGGGAGGTCTGTCCGTGCGAGTTCGCGGCGTTGGCGTCGGCGCCGTGTGAGAGCAGCATCTGCACCGCCGCCTCCTCGCCCTCCCTCACCGCCTTCATCAGCGGAGTCTCTCTACTCTTCTTCATGGCGACGTTGGGGTCGGCGCCGGCCTCACCTAACCCTAACCCTGTCCAACAGATCGCTGAAAAAGGTTATCTTCCTAATAGCACAAAAGCTGAAGTCCAAGGCCAGGAAGCAAATCTGAAAGGGGACAAATAAAGTGATTAAGCCTAGAGGATTGCCAAAGCATGGACACATCCACTTAAATATGCCTGGAGACCATCGCTTCCCAATGCTCCACCCGCGTTGCCAAGTGCAACGCGCAACTCTACAGGCATTTGGAACGTCTCAATAAAAAAATGTAAATAAACACGTAATGTATTTACTACCGAAGTTACGAAGTATTAATGTTTCTCTACTCTTTTTCGCCTATTATTGCCGATAATTAGCCGTAAATGCCGGTCAAAACTCATCTGCAACACACGAGCACACCGCACGCCCGCCCTGTGTACAAACAACACGATTAAGAAACCTTTCAGTATACACATTGCCGTTGTCACGGTCTGAGATAACCCCCAGCACTTCGTGCGCATGCGTGACGCATGCGCAGTAGCGCTGGATAATGAGACGTCCGCAGCCACAGTCTGAGATTAGTCTGGCAGTAGAAGGGTAAATTCAGACTGGGGTAATCTCAGACCGGTCTGGAATTGTTCGCGCAAATTCTATCTTAACCAGGGTGCCCATAGGCGAGTAAATTCAGACTGGGGTAATCTCAGACCGGTCTGGAATTGTTCGCGCAAATTCTATCTTAACCAGGGTGCCCATAGGCGAGTAAATTCAGACTGGGGTAAT